CTTCTGAAAAAAATGGAGAATATGCGGAAGGAGAAGCGAGTCTACAGTAGATTTGAGGTCTTCTGCAAAAAGGATGAACATACAAGTCCAAGTGAAGAGGAATATGACACAGATGCCAAAGACAAGAAGATGGGAAAATTCATGCCCAAAATCCTGGGGACCTTCAAAACCAAAAAATGATCATAGAAATACTATTTAATTCCATATAATCACTGACTGTCAAAGGGGAATGAGAAAGTAACTTGTTTATGATGCCTCTAAGCACCATAGGCAGTACTCTTCGTGGTTAGTGAGTGGAAATGTGTTCAGCATTAGACTCCTATGGCACAATTTGCCCATTAAAGTCATGTGGTATCAGGCAACCTTATCACAGTATGTTTCTAATAAAATTATTAAATTGCCAAGATGCTTAAAACAAAGAACTAAAGTAAGAGTCTTTTTATGTTATGCTCAGGAAATATTTTCAGCAGACAAAAAAATTCCACTTTCAGAAGGGAAGAATGAAAAATAGAAAATTCAATACTTCGGTGCGGTCCAGGAAAGAAAAATACACACAGACACGGCGCACATACGCATTAACTGGAAAAACTGTTCAAAACCCAATTATTTCTCAGGTACAGTTATCTTTTCTTTGTATCTAATAATGAATCAAATATGGGAGGCACCTTTTTGGTTTACAGGAGAAAAAATATTGTAAACAACTTTTTGCCCTTATCTATGATTATGGTCTTGTCCAGCAGTACACGCTCAGCTTTCGTATTTACCATTTTCTAAGCCTATTGGTTCTGTTTTGTTATTGGTTTGTTTCCTTATGTATAATGGAAGTATTGCTTTAGGGGGTGAGCTGAAAGAAGCAGCTGAAAGGCCATAAAAAAAGAAATTGACACGCTATTAATGGAGAAAGACCTGTTTTTAGGGCTCCTTTTTAGCTGAGTGGGGAGTTTAATTAAGTATCTAAAATGCTGTCTTGGCCAAGTAGTAACTTTCTTGACAATGTAACTCCAATTCATTAAGTGACTGTGGGGAGGAGGGGAAGTTCATTTGTTAGCACATCTTTCCATGTGAAGACAAGGAAAGAAGGGACTCATAACAATGCAAGGAATAAGGCTGCTGGAATTTACAAGCTCAGAAGTGTTTCATCTCATGTAACTTTCTTGTAGTAGTTTGGTACCAAGCTTAACCATGCAGCTTTAAAACACTCCAGATTAGCCTGTAGGTTCATGCTGTTGTGTTAGTGTCTTGCAGGACAGAACATAGAGACAGAGGCTGTCGAGAAAATGCTGTACATAATGTTTGGTTACTTAGCTGTCTGGGTTTTTTTTCCTCAGCTTGGACTGTCTCTGCTTGGCATCCAGCAGCATTGCCAAATTGGGATTTTTCCCCCGCCCCTGATCTTTGTGCCATAGTCTAAAGAGATGGCAGGGAAGAATGCTTTCACATGGAACTAGGCTTCTGAATTTCCCATTCCCATTAGCTTGGGTTTCATGATTACCCACTTGTGATGCTAGCTGCAAGCTCAGCAAACCAGTTCAGGTACGTGGCTGATAGATGGAGGCAAGAGGCTGCATTGGTTCCTGAAGGTAACTTCAGCAGGGTCTTTAAAACTTCAGCTCTATTTTTAGGATGCCAGCTCCCATGGTAGCAGTCTTTATATAATTTACCAGGCTTTATATAATTTACATATCTGTAACAATTAACGATTATTTTACTGTTTGTTGAAAACATTGGGAAGTGAATGTGCAGAAAGATAGATTGTCTGATCTGAAAAAAAATTAAGCTGATTTCCATATTAATACAGATGGTGGTAAAAATCTGCAAGAATCAAGAGGAATTATCATTTTAACATGAGGAGGTAAACCTAGAAATAAAGCTAAGCGAGAAAAAAAAAAAGGGGAGGGAAGAAGGGCCAACATTAGAAAAGAAGCTGAAATGGATTTCTTACGGTTATTCCACGTTGTATAAATGTATACCATTTCACATACAACCCATAATTTGTTACATACGTACAAATTCATAAATGAATGCTATATGTATACTTATTTTGTCTGCTCTTAGTAATGAATCAGATCCAGTTATTGGTGGGTCCCCAAATGAACTGTAATGATAAATACAGTTCTCTGCCAGCTGATGCAGATAGAGATTATTTTACTCTAGAGAGGAAGATAGGCTATATAGATTGATGTGGTTTAACCCCAGCCACCAACTAAGCACCACACAGCCGCTTGCTTACTCTCCCCCCACCCAGTGGGATGGGGGAGAGAACTGGAAAAAAAAGCAGAACTCCTGGGTTGAGGTAGAGACAGTTTAATAGGACAGAAAGGAAGAAGAATAATGATAATGACGATGATAATAATAATAAAATAAAAGAATTGGAATATAGAAAACAAGTGATGCACAATACAGTTGCTCACTACCTGCCAACCGATGCCCAGTTCCTGAGTGGCGGCTCCCCTCAGCCCCACTCCCCCTAGTTTATATACTGGGCATGACATCACATGGTATGGAATACCCCTTTGGCCAGTTTGGGTCTGCGGTCCCAGCTGTGTCCCCTCCCAACTTCTTGTGCCCCTCCAGCCTTCTTGCTGGCTGGGCATGAGAAGCTGAAAAATCCTTGACTTTATGTATAAACTTAGTATAAATTGACTTAGTCTAAACACTACTTAGCAATAACTGAAAACATCAGTGTGTTATCAACAGTCTTCTCATACTAAATCCAAAACATAACACTATACCAGCTACTAGAAAAAAAATTAACTCTATCCCAGCTGAAACCAGGACATAGATATATATATATACTATTATATATATATGCTAGCCCTATTTTGTGTAATTCTTACGTCATTCCATACCTCCCCAGCCTTTCCCAAACCTACCTGCTCTGGCATCATTCTGTAACAGACAAGTTAGAAATTTAATATTTCTATAATCACAGATTACATTAACATTTATAATTTTGCTGTATTTGTTCAGATTTGTAGAATTTAATCTTGCTCAGCATGGTGCATTCAGTGTAAAAGTATGTTCCTGACCAGAACTAGAATGACTCTTTTAGTGATACATTGATTACCAGATGTTGTAGGCGTATACAAATATTGCAGAATAACTAATTCACTTCGTAATAGCAAAAGCCATTTTAAGAATAAAAAATTAGCTTTACAGCCCATCACCTCTCACTCTGAGACTAAGCTCACAGAGGATCTTAGATGTCACGTTGTATCGTCAAATTGCTAGGTGCTAGGCGTTTAGTGGAAGTCACAACTCTGAATTAAGCAGCAGACTCCCTTTTCTGTGCATGAGAACTGGGCTCACAAGAGCCAACGTGCTGCACAGAGCACTGCCTGTACAACATGTTCACCCTGTCATTGCCGTCCCCTGTATCTACCTGTACCTGAGATAGACAGGAAATGCCTATTTTATGAATATACCAGAATAAACCAGGACTTCCTGTGAGCTGTATTCCCAGCTCCCTAATATTATCAGACTTAAGTGACCACACTTGGTACCAGAAGTGAATGTACTATTTTTTTACTACCCTTTGGTGTTTAGGTACTAAAAGATAAAATGGATATTCTGTCAATGGCAGTGGTACTCATGTGTTGGAATCTAGTGCCTGATTCCCCTCTGTAACTGTAGTCCCAATGTTCTGGAATAACAATCATTTATCTTAGGTGAAGTAAAATTTCAGGGACAGAGACTTCTTATAAGAACTTCAAGTTAAGGAGGAGAATGAACCAAAAATCAGCATTAAACAGGAATATAGTTTTAAAGTTTACTGTAGTCCCACTGTTGCCTGATAACAACTTCATGACATTTCAGCAACAGTATCTCTTGGAACACTGCTTTCTGAAAGCCAAAAAAGTTTACCATATTATTCATTGAACAAGATACCCTTGTATTTTTCCCTTTCACGCAGAGCAAACATTGAAGGACAAAGATTTTCTGTAGTGCCATATAAAGTGTTTATTATTACAATATTTACAATATTACATGGTAGGTAAGCTATTAAATATTGTAGCACAACCCACCTATATTTAAAATGATCTTCTACTTGATTTTAATGAAAATAAGCCACCATTAATTATGTAATTTACCCCAGAAGAGTCATAGAAATTAGTGGAAAACAAAATGAAGTGCTTTAAGATTATCTGTGAAGAGTTTAGTCTTCTTGGTCTTCAGAGAACAGTTCGTTATCCGTTCTGTTAAAAAAAAAATCTGCATTTAGGCAGAGCTAAAGAATCATAGAATCACGGAATAGATTGGAAGGGACATTCCAAGACCATCTAGTCCAGCCCTCTTGCCTTGGGCACGGACATCTTCCACTAGACCAGGTTGGTCAAAGCCCCGTCCAACCTGACCTTTGAACGCTTTCCAGTGAAGGGGCATCCACAACTTCTCTGGGCAACCTGATCCAGTGTATCACCACCCTCATTGTAAAAAATTTCTTCCTCACGTCCAATCTAAACCCACCCTCTTTCAGTGTAAAACCATTGCCCCTTGTTTTGTCACTACAGGCCCTAGTAAAAAGTCTCTCTCCATCTTTCTTATAGACCCCCTTTAAGTACTGAAAGGCTGCAATACGGCCTACCCAGAGCCTTCTCTTCTCCAGGCTGAACAACCCCAACTCTCTCAGCCTTTCTTTGTAACAGAGGTGTTCCAGCCCTCGGACCATTTTCGTGTCCCTCCTCTGGACCTGCCCTAACACGTCCACGTCTTTCTTGTACTGAGGACCCCAGAGCTGGATGCAGTACTCCAGGTGGGGTCTCACCAGAGCGGAGCAGAGGAGCAGAATCCCCTCCCTTGACCTGATGGCCGCAATTCTTTCGATGCAGCCCAGGATACACTTGGCTTTCTGGGCTACAAGCGCACGTTGCCGGCTCATATCCAATTTTTCATCCATCAGTATCCCCAAGTCCTTCTCCACAGGGCTGTTCTCAATCCTTTCATTCCCCAGCCTGTATTGATACCGGGGTTTGCCCCAACCCAGGTGCAGGACCTTGCACTTGCCCTTGCTGAACTTCATGAGGTTTACACGGGCCCTGAATGTGTCTGAGTATATCTAAAGCCCCTGAATATTCTGAATATGTCTAAATACATTCAAGTATCACAATATTGCAGTTTTCTGTAATTTTTTGCAATAATTCAAATGAGGAATACGAACTGACAGCATTCATTGTTCTCACAGTATGGGAGCAAATAGTGCTGTGCCCTTGTCTGGTAAGACCGGAAGGCAAAGGGATTAGATTTTCTTTCCTGTTGGTTTGTCCAGAAGAAAGTAGTCCCTTGTTCCATACAATGAATAAAACATTTTCCTTTAGCTGGCGTAACTGTCAAATGCCTGTTATATTTTGCTCTCACTTGCTGTTGCTGGCTCAGTTAGGGGACTCATAAGATGAGCTGTACTTCACCTGGTTAGAACATTTCCATATTCACTGCTCATGTTGTTGGGAGGATTTTGATATTGGAAGACTCTGCAGTGCAGATTTATATATGGTTCCATAGGCCTGGGAGTAACTGCCCATTGATGCTTTTGGATCACCAGCAGCTCCCACATTTGCAGTAATCTGGAACATCTTTTTACTGGACTTCAGAAGCGGATGAACATCTTTGCTGTGAAACTGAGTATTTCTTGGATTCTGTGTGAGAAAGAAAAGCCAAGATAGTTAGTAACTTGTAATCAGCTTTCTAAAATACAAATAAGGAACACAGATTTTGCTTCAGCTGAGGAGCAGGACAGATCATGAATGTTTTATGAATAATAAAAAACCAGACTCTTTTGTAAGATCAAGAATAGGATGGTGAGAATGATGTGAGGGAGAAGGGTTTAAGAATGGGCATATTGAGAACAGGAGCAAAATACAACAAACTAATCCTGCACAGGAACAAAAGTCCAAAGTCCTGTTTGGCTAATATCTTGTTTCCAACAGTAGTGAATGCTTTAAATATATGTACAAAAGACAGATCATCATCATCATCATTCCCCAGTATATCCTCCTGGCTTCTGCCAGTCAAATAGCTTGGTGACTTTCTGAGTTGGAAGCTACATATGGATACTGTGTTTATCAGCCCCTGTGGGGAAAAGTTATTAATACATTACAATACATAATACATTACAATACATTTGAATCTGCAGTTCAAGAGGAGAGCTGTTTCACTGTGGCTTATGCTTTGTGAACCTCTATAGTTAACTGAAAGGCAAGAGTGTCCACTCACTATTGTGGCACTGGCTGCTGTCACCCCAGCCATTACAGGAGTCTTTCCTGGTCAAATGGCTGAGAACAAGAGTTTCATGAGCTTGCTAGGATATTGAAAATGAACGCAGACTGAATGCAGAGCAAACTGGAATGCCAGAACTTTTCAGCTTCTGCTGAGGCTGAATGAGAAGGATGGAAAAGTCAGCATTCACGTAAGATCAGCCACAATGCTGATGACCTTCTACCACAATATCCTGTCTCTGACACTAGTCAGTATTAGCCTCTCAGGGAACAAATATAAAGCACAGGGCATGTGTAGGGTGATCTTCTCCCTATTATGCTCTTCCAGTAACAGGAAGTTGTTCACAATAACCTAAAGATTCTTCAAAATGCATTGTTCATATGTACATCTGCACATGCAGCAACCTCCACAATCTCTTACTGTGGAATAAAGGCTTCCACACTTGCTCCACACTTGTGGAATAAATGGTTCCTCTCACTCTCAAAACATTTTGAATGGGATTCCAAAGCAGAGGGGCTGAAAGATGAGTTGCAAGTGTGCACATGGACATACTTGGAAGTTACTGGCAATCATGTCTCCTTTTAGCAGTTGTTCATATGTATTTTTGCATCAGTCACAACAGTAAGAAGAGATCCAGTAGGAAAAAGTTTGACTCTTAACAGTGTCTGCAGCTTGTTTCTGGCTTGAAATGGTTCAGATCATCCAGAGCTGTGTTCAAAGAAATGCTTTGCCTTAAGGTAAATGTGCTATTGCATGCTGACACGAAGCAGGTGATTCCACCCAACTCATCTTTGATAGTGGTGTCTGTCAGAAATCCCTTCATACAACTGTGCTCAGCACACATTTTGAATGGTTTGGAGCTCCAGCACATAGACACTCAATTATTCTTTTGTGGGGATGTGAGAAAGTCCCGTGACAAACAAGTCAATCTTTAGTATCAAAAAAAAGGTAATCTGTGGTCCCTCCTTCCATATTCTTCCTCTGCCGTAAGCTTCCTCTGATCTAGCTCAGGGAAAAGAAAAAGTAGGGGCAAGGAGGTCATTTAAGAACCCAGCGAGCATAACAACTTTTACAAGGAAGCGTGGCCAAGAACAGGGAAGAGGGACAAGCAGAGAGGACAGGACTGAAGCCTTCACTGTTCAGCAACAGCAATCCATTAGACTGGTTCCAGAGGTAATACGAATTCTCCAGCGAAGTTTGGAATATCCAACATTCTCAATCTGGTTAAAAAAGAATTTGCTACCTACGCACTTTGGACAGGACAAGCCATCACTGAAGACAATGTAAAAGCAACTGATCTGTGATTCTCAAAGTCAAAGGGAGTTTTTGGTGCTGCTGACAACCTGAACAATGTGATAATCTGAAATGGTGTTCAAATCCTCACTTGTCTGAAGTGATAAAATTGAAAGTAGAATGGAGTCCAAAATTAGCCTGTCCTCTAGGAAAAGGGCAGTGGAAAAAAAGTCATGTATCTCAGCACATCTCAAAGACATTGCATTAAAAACTCAAGATGGGGAAAAAGAAGTAGAGGCAGAGAATCTGCAGATATTTCTGCTTTTCTTTTTGATTACAGTTAGCTGACATATATGATCCATTACAATTAATCTTTGTGAAAAAAATACTGCTAATGAGGCAGAGACCTAGATTTACAAAAGGGCTGTGTTACTTCATGTTCTCTGAAACACCTAATTCCAGTACTTCAATTCAACAGCCATTCACAGAACTCCTGCCTAATCCTATTGGCAGCAAAATACTCTTGCTCCTCAAGTCACAGGTGATAGGGTTTTTTGAAAGACTGGGGTTAGACGTAAAACTCCAGGAGAAAGTTAGTGTTTATAAACCCAGACTAGCTGAAGATCAGCATTACATATGCTGGACATGTAAGGTTTAAGCCACATCTGTGCCCTTGGCATTTCCTGGTGATTACTATTAGATGGTCTTCCTCTCAACATTCTGCCTCATGCACAGAACTTAACTCAGGGTCACAAACTTCATTAGTGGACAAAACACCTGAAACGTAGGTATTGCAACACTGAAGACTGCAATACGCAAGCTCCTATATGAATCTACCCCATATTAGAGGCAAGTTATGTCTAGTTATTTCCCCTACTAGCAAAAACTCTTCAGTTAGCACACTCTTCAGCTCTCTAGTAATGGGAACATACTCTATACAAGCCCAACTGCCTTATCAAACTAGGTTACTGGTACCATTTGACTGACAATACATACAAGCAATGAAATTGCAGTGTATATCTTTGTCATAAGTAATTTTAACTAGTACAAATTTATTAATTTAGTCACTCACAGAGCAGTATGTCTTGCCTCTCATTTAAGTATCTTTACAAAGTTGCAAATTAAGATATTTTGTGTCTATATCATTTTGGCCCATGAAAAGTTAAGGTGTTTTTTTTTTTAACTGCTACTCACATTATAAAGGCTCTGTACGCTTGTAGGAGGTAGCTGAGCATTTGCATTTGCCCATGTGATTTGTCTCCCCAGTCTCCTATTGTTGGAGATTCTGGCCTGTTGAGAAGGTGGTGCAGAACAGTTCTTGATCACAGCACCAGAATTTGCATTACCTGCAGAAGAAAAAACATGAGAGAAAGTAGGAAAATCATGAGGACAGAGAACACACTGACTGACACAGGGATAGAACATAAAAACTGAGTCAGCCCCTGCCACCTCGCTTCATCTCACAAACAGAACAAAAATATTCAGAATAAAATTAGAATGTACTAGCAAACAAAACCAGTTCAAATGGGCATGGGAAAAGATAATAGCAGTAGAGAAGCAGAGAGAAAACAGAAAGGAACATAGAGACAAGACTGAGGCAGGAAAAAGCCAAAGAGAATGTCGTACACTCAAAACTCATTCAACAGTGTTTTGTTCTTATGTGATTTCCTTTCACACTTTCACCCTCTCATTTTGCCATGTAAATTCCCCTTATTTCTTTTTCCCCACTCAATCTCTTTTCTTCTTTCTACCCCATAATAACGCCTCATGGTGGATCACATCCCACTGTAGGAGGGTAGTACCTACTTTGAACAGCAGTATGTGTTATGGGATTGTATATCATGTTGATCTTTGATCTCTGACATAAAGTTCTTGCTAAATCTTCACTCTGGCTGGATGCTTCTGGCTGGACACTAGATGTAGTTCCAGCATGCACATCTGAAGTTTTTAGAAGAGGTGGTGTTGGTATTCTCTGGCCTTTCCTGGTAGATAAATTCACAGAACTGGAATTTGGAAGAAGTGGCCTGGATTCAGACTGACTTAGTTGAATATTTTCTCTCCGCACTTGCTCCTTTCGATGGCTATTTAATTTCTTTTCAAGGATCATCTACAGAAAGGAGAAGTCAGTTAGACTCAACACAGCTACACAGCAGAGCAGAGGAACAAAACATAGAAACAAAGAGGAAGACTTACAAATAACTTCAATTTATTTCACAGGATAGGTAACAAGTATAATTTTAAAATTAATTTAGGGTTGGAAAGAAGATAGAAATAATATTCTCAGTGGAAAGAAAGAATAGGCTGAAGCATTAAGAAAAAGTATTGGGTAAACAGGCAATTTCAATATATCTTGAGGGAGAACACGACTAAATAAAATGGGCATTAGCCTTGGAAAAGACAGGATTTGCGTGCCCAAAAGGTTAACACTATGTTCTTTCTTACCATCCCCTTCTAGGACTTTGCAAACCTGATTTTTTAATGGTCAAAGCAACATTCATTCTGGGTAGTTCATAATTATTTCTCACCTACCTCTACATACTATTATCTAGCAATAGAATTCTTGCCAAGGTTTTGGGTCTTGGTGCAGACAATCTGCTCGCAACTTCCTGTAATCACAGTCATCGCAAATTTGACACCCTATCAGTAAGATTATTCAAAACTATTCACTTGTTTCTTAACCTTGTATCTAGATTATCTGTGACCAATCTACTGACATTTAGAATATCTTTTCTATCTGTGCTCAGTATTCACTTTACTAATTCATCTGCTCATGACTCCTAACACTCTAACACAGTAGAGTTTATTAGTTTCCTTCTATTAAAGACCTTAAAAGAAATTTTAAGTAGGTTCAACTTTTTAAATTCAGTTTTATTTTTTCTTTCTTCAATTTAAATTGCTGTTAATAGAAGCAATAACACTTTTCATCTCTCTCTGGGAAGGTGGACATGCTTACCAGTCTTTCCCAGTCTTGGATTTTCTGATCTCTAAGCTTCCTTTTCAATCTTCTCTTCCCACTGTCATTCTTTCCAATGCCTCTTTTACTACATTTACATTCCAACTCCTGCTCTTTCCACCATCTTCCAGTTCCTTTGCCTCATAACATGGCATTTACATAATTTCTTTCACTGCAAAAAGGGGAACCAGCCCCCCACCCCTCCAAACTAAGCCAAAACCAATTTCTCCTTCTGAAGGCTTGATTTACTTCCACTTTTGCTGCTCCTCATACTTCATTGTTAGAGCATGCACTCTGGCTATCCTCCACCTACTGCCTCAACAACACCAACCAGATCAGTTCAGTGTCTCTTATAATTAGTTCTGATTTGTATTTATCTTTGTTCTTCTTTCACTTCTTTAGACATTATTCAAATGTTCGTAGAATCATAGAATGGTTTGGGTTGGAAGGGACATTCCAAGACCATCTAGTCCAGCCCTCTTGCCTTGGGCACGGACATCTTCCACTAGACCAGGTTGGTCAAAGCCCCGTCCAACCTGACCTTTGAACGCTTTCCAGTGAAGGGGCATCCACAACTTCTCTGGGCAACCTGATCCAGTGTATCACCACCCTCATTGTAAAAAATTTCTTCCTCACGTCCAATCTAAACCCACCCTCTTTCAGTGTAAAACCATTGCCCCTTGTTTTGTCACTACAGGCCCTAGTAAAAAGTCTCTCTCCATCTTTCTTATAGACCCCCTTTAAGTACTGAAAGGCTGCAATACGGCCTACCCAGAGCCTTCTCTTCTCCAGGCTGAACAACCCCAACTCTCTCAGCCTTTCTTTGTAACAGAGGTGTTCCAGCCCTCGGACCATTTTCGTGTCCCTCCTCTGGACCTGCCCTAACACGTCCATGTCTTTCTTGTACTGAGGACCCCAGAGCTGGATGCAGTACTCCAGGTGGGGTCTCACCAGAGCGGAGCAGAGGAGCAGAATCCCCTCCCTTGACCTGATGGCCGCAATTCTTTCGATGCAGCCCAGGATACACTTGGCTTTCTGGGCTACAAGCGCACGTTGCCGGCTCATATCCAATTTTTCATCCATCAGTATCCCCAAGTCCTTCTCCACAGGGCTGTTCTCAATCCTTTCATTCCCCAGCCTGTATTGATACCGGGGTTTGCCCCAACCCAGGTGCAGGACCTTGCACTTGGCCTTGTTGAACCTCATGAGGTTCACATAGGTCCAGTTCTCAAGCTTGTCCAGGTCCCTCTGAATGGCATCCTGTCCCTCAGGTGTGTTAACCGCACCACTCTGCTTGGCATCATCTGCAAATTTGCTGAGGGTGCACTTGATCCCACTGTCTACGGGGAAAGTACAGCTTTTAATTTTTCTCTTGATCTTATTGCATATACCAAATGGCATCAAAAGTACTTTCTTTCCTTTTCCCTGTACAACTAAAGATTTTGCATCAGCTTTTTTTTATTTATTTGCTTGATTATAACACCATTTCCAGATTTTTCAAGTACTACTATTTCCCCACATTAATGCACTCAAAATATGTCTCCTAAAACATCACTGTCCTTTATTATTAGCACATCAGCTACACTGATCCTTCACTTAGTCTTCCTCCTCTGTTAATTAATTATTCTGAAATATGATAGTTCTCTGTATGTGGTGCGGCATGGAATTGCATTTGACAATGGTCCAGCAAAAAAACTCAGTGTGTTAAGTTATGTGATAACAGTTTGTCTGCACACCCACAACAGAGCTCAGAAAGACAATGGCAGGATGGGAAGCCCAAACGATACTCTGCCGAGCTACACCCTGACCCATTCACAGAAGCCATCAGCCCATCAAAGGCCCATCTGCACAGGCTGAGGAGCACAGGGATGCACCATGGCAGATGGGAACCCAAATCAAGGGGTTCTCAACACCCAAATCTGGGCCCCTGCCAGGGCTGTCCCAGCAAAGCTATCAGCCCCATTGTCCGGGCATGAAACTCATTACAATGAGTCATCCAGATTTCTCTGGATCACCTTCTGGACTAAGGGTGGCAGGGTATGGGGGGGAGTGGAGGTTGCTGCCAGGGGTTGGACACATTATGGGATGCAGGGGAAAGCCATTTGGGATCACACAGGACTTACTATGGGATGTTTAGGGTAGGAACCAGAAGCAGGAAAAGAGAGGGGTGTAGGTGATTTGGGGAGGAACGAGTGCGGGAAATAGGGGGTAAGAGGTATAAAAATGGTCAGTTGTGTGTAAATAGCTGGCTGGTCAATAAGCTTGTCTGGCAATGCCCTGCACCTGATCAATGCAGTTTGCTCTATCTTCTTAAATTCCTTTCTCTTTCCTGGAAGAGAGGCTGTCTATTCTGTCTGCATGTGTGTATGCAGGTGTGAATGCCACCAACTGGAGTCAGATCACAGGTCAGAGGGCCTGTGTGTCCATGGTGCCAGCAACTGAAGAGAGTGCAGGTGTGCGAGTGAGTGTCTGATCCCTAGCAAAGATCAAGTGGCCTTGGAGCAACGGGGTGAGCAGGCCTCTAAGGACCAGCTCTGGGTGTGAGAGCACCTGTGTATCTCTAGGGGTGAGAACACTAGAGGCAGGGGGACAGAGGTCAGCTAAGGGACCTGGAAAGTCCTGGCCAGCTGTTTGCCTGCGTGATCTGTACCAGCAACTGGAATGGGGCTGCAGCCTTGGGGGCTTATATATCCAAGAGCCAGCAGCTGAGGAGACTGGGATCAGACTGAGTGTCTGAGACCAGTTGCTGCAGGGATCCACCTTGTACATATGTATATATATTCTCATGAGTGGAGTTCTACCTTGCTCAGCCAGAGAAGGGAGCAGGATGAGGCTGTTGCTGCTACCTATGTTTGTGTGAGTGCTCCGAGTGCCTGTCTGTGATCCACATGGCCAGCCCTGTGTATATGTATATACGTAGTGTGTACATGTTTTCTGTAAGCATGTGCCTACTGAGAATACATCTTCAGCCTTGCTACTGGCTGGACCTGGGGACACAGAGTGGCAGCAGCCTCGCCCCTCTAGGGCTGTTGGATCCAGCATAATACATTTTCCTCTAACACAGTCTTTCTCAGTCATCATGCTTTACAGACTTTTCTTTTCCCAGTGGGAACCTAGATTTAAAGACCTCTCAAAAATTATGACAGTATGGAACTGACTGATAGGAAGCACCAAGATGTAACTGTAAACATGTATGGAAAGCCTATGGGAATGCAAATAGAAGAAAATGTCAGAATTCATTAAGTGTGTGCAAGAAGGGCAGGTTACCTGAAGGATTAGGATTTTGGAAAATAGGATAAGAGAAAGTACCTCATATAATTTATTTCGATATTCTGCCACAGACAGCTGGATATCATCAGCTAAAGGAAGAATCACATCATAATCCAGAGAGGGCTCCCTGGCAGGACAGTGAAATCTAAGAAGATGATAACACATAATGTAATTCACTAAGACTAAGAACAGCATCACAGATTAATATAATGTTAAAAAGGATTGTTACATCATCTAGTGTGACCTCTAGTGTAAATAGCATTAGAGAAAAATCAAGAATTAGCTTTTGTTTTTTTTTTTTTTTTTTTTTCTATCATGCATATAAAGAAAACTTGTGCCAAGAGCAGGTCTATAACATCTCAGAAGACATCAGGGGAAACTGCACATTGGTATTACTCTCACCTTTTCACATAAGGATGCTGCAGAGCCTCCTCTGCTGTGAGTCGTTTATCAGGGTTAAATACTAAAAGTTTCTTCAGAAGATCCAAGGCAGGCAATGGAGTAGAGGATGGTAAAATCTCCTCAAATGTTACTCGCTGCCTAGAAGTCAGAAAACAATGATATAAGCTCCCAGTGTCTAATTTACAGTGAAGGCATGAATTACAGTCCTGGGAATCACAACAAGGTGACACCTGACTGTTTTTGAGCATTCACTCACAAATAGTGTGTCATAATCCTGGAACACTCTAAAGTATAGACCTGTGAGTATGTTAAAGTCTTTTACCCCTTTGATTAGGTTTGAATGCCTCCCTCCCTGCACTAGGAACCTACGTGAAGTGCCTAACTTGCAAGTCTAGCCTTTCTCTTGTTTCAGTGGAAAGAGTGAGAGATATCAGACAGTATCAGACACAGGGGAGTAATGAGTCCTCTGGACAACAAGTTCTTCTTTTGTTCTTTTGACAATGCAGGAAGCCCAAACTCCTAACTTGGATGTTTCAGTTGAACTGTTAAAGATCCCATGAATCCAGCCCTGAGACCGCAGAAATATATTTCTGTATAATTTGCAATGAGAAGTTTAAAAATCTGGTTTTGCATTTTGAAATCCTAAAGATAATAATTAACATAAGAAACATGCGAATATCTAATACATTTGAAAAATCAGTTTTAAAACACGATTCTTACTCATATTTTAAATAATTTTGTTACTCCATGACAACATTCTTTTAGTTTAGAAAAATGATCCATCACTGAACATAGCATTTGGACTGAGTGGCTCAGAAAAAAAAACTTTTCAGTTTTGAAGACTAAGATTTCACTTGCTCTTTTACCTAGCTGGAACTATCTATCAGAACTTAGCCACTTGACTTTCACATTTTTTGAGGCAAAAAAAAAAAAAAAAAAAAAAAGATGACAACATCCAAAGAGTAGGGCTGTCAAATAAAAGTGCATTTCAGCCAGGAATGAATGGAGAGTTCCAGCTGTTGTCTCTCACTACTCAGAGAAGGGTTATAGAAATGAGAGAGCTCTTCTCAGAGGTGCTGTGGTGGGTTGACCCCCACTGGCAGCTAAGCCCCCACCCACTGCTGCTGCTCTTTGACATGCAGCAACCCTACAACAGACGGATTCACTAAGAGACTGCATGGGCAAGCTAGACAGCTGTTTAATCCTCTCTGTATCCATGGCAGCTACACCAAAAGCCCACTGGTACCCTTTTGGGTCCCTGAAGTAGCCTCTCCTGATGTAGTGCATGCCAAGGATGCACCGAGTCTCCACGTCAGTCACAATAGAATGCTTTTGCCACTTGTTGCTTGTTACGGTCACTTCAGCCTCCACCACAGATAACTGTTGGGATCATTCTGTCGCTCCAGAAATCCAGGTGGGTTCCATCCCCTTGTATCCTGATGGCATTAGGGTCACTGTGCACTGGTGTCCAGCAAAGCCTTATACTCCTGTGGGTACAATGTGCCAGACTATTGAATCCATACAGTCCAATAAACCCAAGTTATGCCTTTCCTCTGCCTGGCTGGAGGCATGGCCCATCTATTCCTGGTCAGAGCATTCATTACCCGACTCCTGTAATTGCAAACCAGGATCAGAAGTAGGATCAGTCCTTCCACTGCGTCTGGGCAATTGCTCAACAGCAATTGGAGCAGTCATCTTTCTGAATGGACCCTTTTTGGCTGCTGTTTTTCCTTGCAATTCACATACACAAGTTTCTAGGCTTGAGATAGATGCACTGTCCCACTTCCTCATGTCCTTCCCACTGTCATGCAGGTAGAACCACAAGGTGGCATGCATGGTTCCCTTTCCTTTGAGCAGAGAAAGGCTGACTCCATGTGACACTCTTGATAGCTAAGATGCCAACCTGTAAGGGTAAGGAGGAAAACATAACTCCCTTTGAATTTGCTGGAACTTTTGGGGCAGTTTTTCTACAGCTGAGATACAGGACCATAGGGTTGGGGAGGTAGAGAGATTCTCTTCGTATTGCCAGAGCTGGCCAGCCAGTCTGTCCACAGTTGGTGCCTCAATGTCTGTACAATTATTGTCAAGGTGCTGTCATACAATGTTGGTGTGCTCTGTACAAACGTTTGACCGTGTGCACTGGATTTCACCTGGATCTATGGAGCTCTGGTTATTGCCCAGGTTGCTGTAGATCACCTCCACCACCAATTCCCTAATGCTGGATATCTCCCTCAATGGTGATCCACTTGCCTCAGTAGTTTATAAGATCTTCCTTGAGGGGATACCTTGCCTTCATGCTCGACAGAAGTTGCCTCCAGAAGCCGCAGATCGTTGCCCCTTTTCTGATCCCTTCACCAGTTCCCCAGTCCTTAGCGAGAGATCCCAGTTGCTGGGCTTTCTTATCCTCTAATTCCTGACTCAGCACTGGGCCCAGTATCCTAGCATCATAGCAACCAAGTGATAATTTGCTCACCTAGATGACAGCTGTAATCTTTCCGCATATTTTGCGGCTTGTTCAGGGATAGGGACTGGGTGGTTTCTACACTCATTCATGATTTCTGTCTCCTCCCCCTCTTGTCCTTGTGGCTGCTCTACTGCAGAACTGTTTGCCTCTTCTGATTCTTCCTCCTGCTCCCTCTTAGAAGCTTCTTCCTCTCTTACAAACCAAACTGACTTCCTCTCCCACTGTTTAGGAGCAACTGTTATCCTCAAGGGTTGGTTCTCTGACTTAGCCACAGTGTCCATTTTTATGTCCTCAGATCCAGAGACCCTTTCACCCCGCTGAGATAGGTGTAGGCCAGGCCTCAGCACAGCGTGAGAAGTTGTGTCTCTTTGACATAGACAAGGCATTCTTTCTTCAGGTGTTTTGTCACTTCAACAGGATGCCACGCTTATTCAGGTGTGAAGTCTCACACCGTTGGATGTGAAAATTGCTCTAGGTACCTGCACAAATTCTCCTACACAACTTGTGACCCATGACCTGACTACCTCAGGGCACATCCCTGTGTGGCATTCACAAATAGTTGGTTATCCTTAGGAAAAGCCAGAATCGGATTCTTGACATATACCAATATAAGCATTCTAGTTACCCAAGGATGTTCAAGAAACTGAAGAGCTGTTGTAACAAGACAGAAAAACAATCTACCCCAGGAGAGAGGAAGGGGGAGGTACCATTCTTCATTTCCTCTACAAACTTGCTCTCAGATGAGAAGAGGAGAAATTGTTAATTTTCTCCATGGGATGGTTCCCAAAGTACTGGGACAGAACCAATGCAGGGCCTAAATACCAGATTAGGCTCAAGGCTAGTGCTTTTATCATAACTCTCCCAGGCAAAACACAAAAAAGTGCTAAACAGCACAGCAAGCTGCAAAAGCTGAAAGCAGCCATTACAAGCCCTCAAATTTGATGTGCAGCAAGAGAGGCAGCATGCCATGGAGCAGGTAAAGGAACAAATAAACCAGTGCTGAGAACAAATACATCAATATTATGACCAAAAACAGCTAAACAGGTGTAACTACTATAAAATCCTGTCTAGTACACTCCAATCAAATCTATTAAGATGTCGACACTTTGGCCCCATGCTGGACACCTAAAAGGACTCTGGTGGGTTGACTGCGGCTGACAGCTAAGACCTCATCCAGTCACTCACTCTCTCCCCCTCAGTAGCATGGGGGAGAGAATCGGAAGGGCAAAAGCAAGAAAAACTCATGGGTCAAGATAAAGACAGTTCAATAAGTGGAGGGGAAAAAAAGGGAAAAATGGAAAAAAAACCCCAAGCTGTGCAAAAGCAATCACTTACCACCAGCAGACCGATACTCAGCGAGTGTCTAAGCAATAGCTACTTTGGAGAAATTCCTCCCCACCCACTTTATTGCTGAGCATGACACTATATTATATGGAATATCATTTTGGTCAGAAGGGTCAGCTGTCCCAGCTGTGTTCCCTCACAGTCTCTTGCCAACCCTTAGCCTACTCACTGTGGGGGCAGAGCGAGAAACAGAGATGGCCTTGATGGCTGCTGTGCAAGCATTCTTAAGTAACAGCTGAAACACTGCTGTGTTATCAACAGTTTTGGTCACAAATATAAAACACAGCAGCATACAAGCTGCTGTGAAGGAAACTAACTCCATTCCAACCAAACCCAGTACAGGTGCACAGCAAAAGGATGAGAAGCAACATTCTCAAGTGCATCAAGGGAAATTCCTATGGGATACTGTGACCGTCCACTTCCTGCTGACAAGGTCAAACACACATGCTGTGCTGACAGTTGAATCAGCAGGGACAAAAGGGTCTCAGTTCCTCAGCTACCTGGCATAGATTGATACAGGAATCCTGGCACCCCTGAATGAAAGGGAATAATGCTCCAGGATGCCAACTGAAAAAGTCAGCAAAAGTCATCATGAAAAGGCATATGCTATTCATGTGAACAGCAAGGGACCTGCTAGAGCTTATGGCTTGAGCCGCCCTAAGCTAAACCTATAAAAACCTATCAGTAAACATTCAGAGAACTCATACCACACATAGCTGGGCTATGCATATTGCAGACTCCCCAGTGAGAAGGGATGCCCACTGAGTATCATGGCAGATACAAGTGGAGAATACTTAGAGACTGGTGAGTAATTTGCTGTGGCCATAAGATAGTGTAAAAGCATTAAGTTTACTAATGTTTACTAATTAGATATGTAATAAATGCAGAATTATGGGGTAGTCTGTGTACATAACTGGAGGATCTGAAAGAACCGTGACAGATATAAGGAGGGGGAAAAAAAAAAAAAAAAAATCACAGTGAGAGTCATTAAGCAGCTGGAATGAGGCAGTCAGGCTGAACAGATTCGGGCTTTCCATGTGTGAACCAATGTCAGCAGATACCCAAATGACTCAGGATAGGAAAATATTCTAATTTTGAGAAAGTAAACATGACAATCACTTGGAATGTAGGCCCAACCTAATTTTTTTTTGTTATTCCCTGATTTTGTCATTGGTCTTCTCATCTTCTTTTTTTTTCTTTTTTTTTTAAACTTTACATCCCTTCCCTAGAGGTAGGTTGAATCTGCAGAGAGCAGAAGTAATTTCTATCAGTGAACACTGGAAGGTGAACTTCAGGGGAACTTTTAGTCAACGTCATACAGTAGACTGTTGACTTCTGAGACACACTGAACATTCAAGGCTTACCGGAAACTCATTCGGTTAATAACTGAGGCCCTGTAATCTGATTGCATAGCCAAAATATCTGCAATAATGAAAAGATACTGTTAATGCCAAGATTAGGATTACCAGAGCTACACAGTTTATGAAGGAAAGCAAATATTTGATATTAACATAGGAAATCATGCTAATAAAACTCAATGGGAGATCCTATGGAAGGGGGATGGAATATTTACTTAGAAATTTTCTAAGCTGATTTTCTCAATTCCTATTCATTCTGTCATAGATTTCATAAACTTGCATTCTTATACCCACATAAGCAGAAGCTCTAAGATATCCGAGGCCAAATGATCTGGCCAGGATCACTTGTGTGGGACACAGGGAACAAGGAATACCAGCTATTGATTTCCTCATCACATCCGCTGGGGTGACTGGTGATGATGAACTCTTTTCTGAACATATCTGTCATACTCTCAAAGAGTCAACAGATGCTATGGAATGTTGTTTTTTTTTTGCTTCAGAATCTTGCTTCTTTGGTCCCCGTAAATCCTAGGCAAAGTTGCTGCTCATAGGTTGGTTTTCCTTGTTTGCAATAATGTTTTGAACAAGTGCCTGTTTTCACTTGTTTGGCTAAAAGAAAAAGAAATTGTGCCTGTGATATGCTGCAACCTTGCAGCCATTGTCCTGTGGTAAGGATACAGGACCTTCTGCTACTGCGTCATTTGTCCTGTGGTCTTGTCTTAGACTGCAGACCTTCTGGTTCTGACATTATCAACACATTCCTCAATTGTATTGCTGAGAATGGAACAGCATTTTTTGTTATTAGTGCTGGCTGTTCTTCTAACTCCTGTTTTGGTGTTTTCACGCACACATTTCCATTCATATTTCATTCACAGTGACCAAATCTCTAATAAAAACTATAAGTAACTTTAAGCTCGAATGGAAATCTCCAAAACTGTGATGTCCTTAAACTGAAGGTAGTTACTTTTCTAAAAACTATTTGCTAGCTCAGTTAGAACATAGAATATTGTAAAAGTTTATAAAGTGTATGGGCTGTTAGACTGGAACTCATGGAAGACAATACTAATAATCATCACCATCCCCTCTTTTGGATTTAACATATTTTTACTCCAGCTTTCACTTCTGTGTTTAGATTTCCAGACCAAAAAGTCCAATTTACCTTTACTATGCAAATCCCACAGAAGTATTAAACTTCTGTTTTAAACTGTCATCCTCTTATAAATCTCAAAAATGTTTTGAAGGCCTGGTTCTTGTTTCTCATGTAATCAAGTATGGGCTTATTTTCCTCTGACACTAACATTTCACAATTAAGTCTTTAATTTCCTTGAAAATATGTTAGAATGACTCACAAGAGATACCTTCTTCCCTGATCCAGCTGGGCTGCTTTCTTTCACTCTTTTAATCTCTTCTCTAAATACCTTTTCCCGTAGAAGAGTCCTACCTTCTGGGGATGGGGCAGGAATGACCCTCAAGATCTGCTCTATTTGATTCACTGTTGATGTTCCAGGAAAAAGAGGTTTTCCAAGTAGCAGCTCTCCCAGAATACAGCCAATGCTCCACATGTCTACACCTTTAGTGTAACTACAAATACGAATAGAACAGAGTTAGGACTAAATCAATCAAATATTTTTCTGTACCTGGTATTCACATCATCTACATTGGCTTATTTTGCTAGAAAAACAAGCTTGATGACTCCTTGAATACGAATGCTCACAGGTTTTAATTATAAAGTGAATGAGATTCGGGAATCATGAAACTGGCAAGCATAAAACAGAAAGGAGATTTATCCTACTAGAAGCCTATTCTAGGAAACCATAAAAGGAAGTATATTAAAGATAAATGCCAGGACAAGGTAACATATACTTTTCATATGACCAACAGTGAAGATACAAGTTGCTGTTTGGAAACAGCTGACTTTTCAGGGCATAATGTATCTAGAAAGTAGTTACAATTACTTAAGCAAAGTAAATGCCAAACAAAGGGTAAATGACAGTTTGCAAAACATCCACATTTCAAATTTGGGATACTAACCCAACCTATATTTATTTTCTTTTCTGATCAATAAGATTTTGTATATTTAAGTCAAAAAAAGGACTAAGCCTGACCAACAGACAGCTGATTTAACATTTGATTACAGAATATTTTCTGAAGGTCTATCAAAAAACTCTCCTTAAACTTGGAGGAGAGGACTAAGGTACTCAACCAAATTTTGTAAAGATGAAGATTTAAGGGGAGAAAGGATGACAAACAGATGAGCTGATAATGTATGTAAATGGACAATCTAAGAAGCCAGGAAGGAAATGTACATGTAATGAGAGATTTTTATGTTGCAGAACTGGAGTTTAAATGCATATTGAGAAAATGGACTTCTGACATGACATTGCATCTGGTGACATCTAAAATGAAAAGACTTAAGACTTTTAGACAATAAATCTTCCCAGTGGTGAAGAAATTATAGAAACCCATCCGTTCACTCATATTAAGCAGTTACCTCCGAGAGGAAAGTAAGATCTCAGGGGCTCGGTACCAGCGTGTTGCCACATACTCTGTTAGAGCAGGGTTGCCTTGGTCCTCATTCATCTGACATAAAGAACGGGCCAGCCCAAAATCACAAAGTTTAACAAAGCAGTCTGCATCCAGCAAGATATTTGAAGGCTGAATTGAAAAAAGGAAAATTAATAAGCTTTTTACTCTTTGAATGGGAGAAGATTATTATCAAGGTTCTTTTGCTAGTCTCCCTTTTCATATTTTTCAATTTAGTGTTTAACAGAAATTTAGTGTTTAACAGAAAACTTGAGTGAAGGATAAAGACTATGACTGAAATATACCTTCTGATCTCTGTGAATAACATTTCCCGAGTGGATGAATTTAGTTGCCTTCAGGAGTTGGTAGAGAATGTAACACTTGTGGATATCTTTCAGCAAATTCCCCTTCTTAATCACAGCATGTAAATCTGTCTCTGTAATATATTACATCAGTAATAGATTTACATCAGTAAAGGATTACCCAGTTGTGAATATAAGTTCCTCAAAGCAAGGCCAGAATAGATCATAGTCAAAACTGTCATCTTTCAAGAGCATTCTCAACAGAAGTTAACACTGTAATTATTAATAGTACTGCAATCTCTCTATATTATCAGTTTGACTTGCAGCTCATGCTACAGTTACTGTTCTATTATTGCATACTATTGTTATAATAAAGTTGCACATAGTCTATTCCACATGCAACTCTTCTGTCTCTGCAAGACTTCTAATTTATTGCTCTCTGCCATCTTCATCTCAACCAGCCACTTTTCAAATAATTATTAGTCCTTTAAAAGTTTCACTGCTATTCCCATCTAATCACAACCGATATATATTAAAAAAAACTGTACTGCTCCTACTTATATGTCTACTTACATGAATATTCATGTAAATTATCAACACACTACTATCAAAGTAGGGAACAAAGGTAACTAACTCATAAGACAGACTGTATTTAAATGGCTGATGCAATGCTAAGTCTCACCCATGGACTCAAAGACGAGGTAGATGTCCTTGTTGTTCTGAGCTCGGATAACATCAAGCAGCTTGATGATATTTGGATGTTCTCCAAATTCCTGCGGAGGGAAGAGACCCAACTGTCAAAATCAAGTGTCTTGCTTGTGAATCATAAAAAAGGACAATAACTTATCGCATTTTGTATTATTGTCTAGAACAAATGTTAACATGCTATTTCCTTCATTATGTTTCTAATGAAATAAATAATAATAAAAAGGATTTAAACTTGCTCCACAGCATGAAACCAGCCAGTTAATCTAAAAACCCAAAATCTCTGTTGTCTGAGACATTAGTTCTAAAAATCCCTCCATACCATTGTCTGAATAAAATCCAGTCAACTTTACTCACCTCATATTTCCAACTGAACGCAAAGAAATATTGTGGCAGTGAAAACAGAACAAAGTTGCCATCAACGTTCATAATTAAAAAACCCAACCAAGCAAGAAGTGTCTATCTGAGGGTAGGCTGAAACACTACAGGCTGCATTGATTGAACTGACTGTAATTGGAGATCAGACAGTCAGCATACAAAGAGATACCTAAATACAGGTATCTTAAACTGTAGGTGAATTCTATCCTCACATTTGCAGACTGATGATACTGTCAAGATCATTTATTTCATCCTCAGTCTTAACAACTTTTATTTCCTATAGCTAACATTTCTGCGCAGCTAGAGGCACTGTGAACGCTTCACAATATGCCAACATTTTCATGAACTACCCCAAGTATAAAATTATAAATAGCTGCACCATAAAACCTATGCTTGTATCTAAAATACATAAATGGGTTTTTTGTTATTTGAACCAGTAATATAGACTCTTTATCTATTTCTATCACAAATTCAGTTATAAACAGTATCATAAATCATAATATCAAGCTATCTCCAGCAGAGTCTTACAACACCATCACTTTCCTAGACTCTGAGGCCAAGAAAAGAATTGGTTATGATGTACATCATCTAGAAAAATCCACAAACCAACACACTCGCCTGCAGCAACTCATGAAAATATACTTGCAAAGCAGTAATATACACCCAGGCCATCAAATACCTTTGCATTTATTCTGAGGACAATATTCAGAATGCCCATCCAAATAATCTAAAGAAAGCTTTTACCCAAAAAGGATATTTTTCCAGAGATGCAGATCAGTCTTGACAGTGTTACTTGAGTATTGTTTAAGAACTTACTTCACACTGAAGGAAAACCCCATTGTCTCACCCTGTCTTGCCCTGGAACTGATAATGGAAAGTTATGAAAAAGTTTCAACCTATACTAAAAAAAAATCCTACCTTGAAAAAAAATCTTGTCAGAGCCAGTGCTACTTATCTTTGCTTACAGAACAATGCTCTCACTAAAGTAATTACCAAAAATAACATTCTAAAATGTGGTCCAAAATACAGCAAATGGATCTGCAGCCATACTGAACTATAAGCATAAAAACTGCAAGCAGCATAATGAGCAGCATACTATGTATTACCCAGAAGAAAATAATCAAAATGCCTAGATTCTACATCAACACTTCTCAATTAAAATAAACTTCATCCAGTCCATCAAATGCCCTTATGATAAACATACAGATTAAACTCAGCAATCATTATGCACAGGAAGGAATTTGCACAGACAAGCAAATTAAGACAAACATCCAGTCACCAATGAAAGAGTATTTCTTACGTCTTTCCCTTTTTGATCTCTCAGTCCTGAACCTCAACAAAGAGCTATAAAATACCTTAAAAAATAGGGGGGGAACTAAAATTCTTAAGTCTATTGAGCATCTAAAGTCATGAAAGTAAGGGCTTAATGGCACATTAACCTCCCTCCCCCAAAATGACTCATCCTTTCCTTCAGGAGAAATATCCTTCTTTTTCTTCTCCCAACTCCTCCTCCACCCATCTACTCCACAAGTGCTATACCTTCAGAGACGATCTAACCTACAGGTAATTAACTTCTAAGGAATTGTTCTTATACGTTTTTAGCTCTTAAGTTTGCAGCTTCTATTTCAGGCTTAAAGAATGATAAAAAAGTAAAAAAACCCCATCTCTTTCCTACTTAAACTTGACAGTCTTAGGAAATACCTCTTCCTATGAGCCCTGCCTTCCTTGTGTCCTTAGAAAATCATAGTTATAACAACATTATCACTATTCAAAAACATTGATGTTTCTACATGGTAAGTCTGTGGAGTAATGGACAGGTAATCTTAATGCCACTGCTAAGGTAATAAGGCGTAGTGTGGGGTCAATTATATCAAAACAAAAGCAGCCTTAAGTAATTCCATACAGAACATTTATCTTAGTTTTGCTTTGATTATTTCAAGTGGTCAAGTTATTTCCCACATGACAGAGGAAGAAAATTTTGGCATGTAAATTCTCTTCTACAACCCAGTCCCACCTCCCAATCATGGCATTTAAAATTTAAGAAAAATGCTTTCTGTCCACAAATATGTAAAAAGTGACAGTATCCTAGAGTACACATACTGCTAAAAATGGTGAAAGGACAGAGCATGTCTCAAAGAAAAAATAAGACCAACTCTCCATTTCATTCAGGTGTTTTTGCTCAGTGATGGAAAGACTGTTTGCCAAGATGGTGCAGAAAAGAAGTGAATAGAATTGTCAGCAATGATCAGCACATTTTGAAAAAGAATGGGAAGAAAATATGTGAACAATATCAGAGATAATTAAAAATCAGAGGAAGGGGAAAAATGGATGTTACCTGCAGGAACATAATCTCTCGAAATGTTCTCTGGAAATAAAAAAAAAAAAGTTTATTGTCACCTCAACAGAATGACTGAACAGAATATGGACTTCCAATGAGAGGGCTAAATCCATTCTAATCTCTAAAGCAGAGGAAACCCTTACATGGTAGACTGGCTAGGAAAAACCCAGTTGCTCAGTAGAGAGTCACAAGTGTGCTCTGTGTGCATAGGCACTATAGCATAACAACATAAGGGAGAATCAAATTGTGCATGCCTATAAAGACACTTTTTCCTCAGGGACATCAAACAGTATTTTGTAGATGCCATGATATAACAAAGCTTGACATTTATTGCTCCCTTTTATCCTAGTATAGCTGTAGACTGTATCACTACATGCATAATTGTCAAATAACTAACATCTTTCAGAGATATAAATCCTGAAAATATCTATGAACACCCACCACATCTTTCAGGACATGTTAGAACAACAATTTCTCACCTGAGCATCTGTTCTGTTCCTGAAAGCATCAAAAATCTTTTTAACAGCAACTATTTCTCCTGTCCTGCGATCGACTGCTTTCCATACAATGCCATAAGCCTAGGGAGAAAAAAGGACAGATGAAGTGTACTATGACATCTTAGGCACAGTTCAGACCTTCAGGGTTGTTTTGGGTTTGTGTAGAGGGGTTTTGGTAGCAGGGGAGGGGCCTGCAGGGGTGGCTCCTGTGAGAAGCTGCTAGAAGCTTCCCTGGCTCCAAGTCCGACCCGCCTCTGGCCAAGGCCGACTCGATCAGCCACAGTGGTGGCAACTCTGGGAGAACACATTTAAGAAGGGAAACCTGCAGTGGGAGAGGAGATTGGAATGTGAGAGAAAACCCTGTGCGGATACCCAAGTCAGTGAAGAAGGAGGGGGAAGAGTTGTGCTGGAGGAGGTGGTGCCCCTGCAGCCCATGAAGGCAAAGCCCCTGCAGCCCACGGAGGTGAACGGGAGTAGATGCCCACCTGCAGCCCATGGAGGACCCCATGCCAGAGCAGTCGGATGCCCCTGCAGATGGCTGTGACTCCATGGTAAAGCCTGTGCTAGAGCAGCCTGTGCCTGAAGATCGGCCCACAGAAAGGACCTATGCCAGAGAAGTTCGTGAAGGACTGTCTCCGGTGGGAGGGACCCCATACTAGAGCAGGGGAGGAGTGAGTAGTCCTCCCCCTGAGGAAGGAGAGGCAGAGACAATGTGTGGCAAACTGACTGCAACCCCCATTCCCTGTCTGGCTGCGCCGTGCGCTGCTGGAGGGGAAGAGGTAGAGAAAACTGGGAGCAGAGTTGAGGCGGGAAGGGTGGGGGGAAGGTGTTTTAAGATTTGGGTTTTACTTCTCATTATCCTTGGTTTGATTTGATTTGTAGTAAATTAAATTGATGTTGTTTCTTCCCCAAGCTGAGCCTGTCTTTTGCCCGTGACCATAAGTGGTGGGCGATCCATCCCTGTCCTTGTCTTGACCCATGAACATTTCTTTGTATTTTCTCCTCCTCATTCCGCCAGGGCTGGGGTGAGGAGGAGTGAGCAAGCGGCTTCGTGGTGCTTTGTTACTGGCTGGGCTTAAACCACGACAAGTATGGAAGTAGAACATACTAAATAGAGAGACTGAAGGAAGAGGTAATTACCAGCTACCTAGAAGAAAGAGAGGTTAGGCCAATGAGCAATACCTGGTTGAGTCATGGACTAAGAATGTCTACACTGAGTCCGACCAAAGGTCCACAAGGTCAAGCATCCTGGACCCCAAAGCAGCCAATAGCAGATGTACATGCTCATTAAGTTCAGCAAGGTGAAGTGCAAGGTCCTTCACCTGGATTGATGCAATCCCCAGTATCAACAGAGGCTGGGGGATGACAGGATTCAGAGCAGGCCTGCGGAGAAGGACTTGGGGATACTGGTGGATGAAAAGCTGGACACAAGCCAGCAATGTGTGCTTGCAGCCCAGAAATCCAAGTGTATCCTGGGCTGCATCGAAAGAATTGTGGCCATCAGGTCAAGGGAGGCGATTCTGCCCCTCTGCTCCGCTCTGGTGAGACCCCACCTGGAGTACTGCGTCCAGCTCTGGGGTCCCCAGTATAAGAAAGACATGGACTTGTTAGGGCAGGTCCAGAGGAGGGACACGAAAATGGTCCGAGGCCTGGAACGCCTCTGTTATGAAGAAAGGCTGAGAGAGTTGGGGTTGTTCAGCCTGGTGAAGAGAAGGCTCTGGGTAGACCTTACTGCGGCCTTTCAATACGTAAAGGGGGCTTACAAGAAAGATGGAGAGAGACTTTTTACCAAGGCCTGTAGTGACAGTATCATAGAATCATAGAATAATTTAGGTTGGAAAAGACCTTTAAGATTATGGTGTCCAACCGTTAACCTAACACTGCCAAGTCCACCACTAAACCATGTCCCTAAGTGCCACATCTACACGTCTTTTAAATACCTCTAGGGATGGTGACTCAACCACTTCCCTGGGCAGCCTGTTCCAATGCTTGATAACCCTTTTGGTGAAGAAATTTTTCCTAGTATCCAACCTAAGCCTCCTCTGGCACAACTTGAATCCATTTCCTCTCGTCCTATTACTTGTTACTTGGGAAAAAAGAAAAGAGACATCCCAACTGCCAACAGTGTAGCATTATAGCACTTACTCGAGACACTTCTACGCCAACTGTTTATACTTCCTGATGCACGGCAAAGGACCTGAACCCAGGATCACATGTATTCTTGGGAAGTCTGCCTTGATGTCGCTATCTGACTATTTAAGCATGAAAATCACTCAATATCACACATTATAGCTGTTTTACTTTGTATGAGTATTTAAACATTAACTGGGCATTTCTGAGTGAGAAATGACCCCATTGTGCAGATGTAAGGCATCTCCTAGAATGACCTAAAAATAAGAAAACTGGATCTGTACCACAAGGGAGACTGAGTAATCACCATTTGCAAGTATCACATAGTCATCTGAATAGGGAATACTCGGGTAGAAGTTCCCATTCCCTTAGTGAAAAAAAGAACTCTTTGAATTCCCTCACTATACAGGAACAGCTTATCTCCTTTGCTGCTGCACTTCTCTGTTCTATTTTTTGGGCAGTCCTCACATGTTTCAGGGACTCCAAGAGCCTTTTAAGTGCTCAGGTACGTGCATCAGCTGTGTACATACACAATACATACAGAACTTTCTGCATACAAGAGGCAGAAAACACAGATATTTAGGAGGCTGGAACCACTTGAGTTAAGAGCTCGACTAGTAGTTTTGATAATGTCAGTGATGCCTACATGATGGACCTGAAGCCACTAAAGTCCTTTCAAGACCTGAATGTATGTAGTTATGTTTGTGAAACAGTCTCCAAATAGAACTCTCAATTTGATATTTCAGATGAAAGAATAATGTCATTCTGTTCAAAGAACCTAGCATGTTAAAAGATGTAATACATTACATTCAGTCAAAGGGAGAAAGCTGATAACTAGTAACAAGATGGCAGCAAACCTTGCAAGTCAGAGCCAAACTTAGAATTAAATATAGCCATAAGAACGATCAGTGTGAATTCAAAAGGAGAAAACCAAAACATTGTCTTAGAGGATAATGAAGAAATTGAGCCTCTCTCAAGTGGCCCCTTGTAATTGCACATGAAATACTTAACTAGTATTAACACAACTAAACAAAGGCAAAGAGCTGCCAGAATAGAAAAGCAGATAATCAGGAAGGGTTTAGAGGCTGCCTGAGGAAAAAGATCTTAGAAATTAACGTTGGCTCACATATAAAAATACATGATTTAATGGGGAAAAATTACTTGATGCAGCACAATACTTGAAGTAATGGGGTTACAGTAAATGTGAAAGAATCTGGCAGGCACAAACAGATAGACTTTGAGACTCAGATTAATTTAGCTATAAACCAGGTGTACATGCAAGGTCGGTGCTTTGTGTGGCAGCTCTCCAGTAAATTACAGGGAAAAAAACTGATGGGGAATCTAAAGGTATTTTCAGTTCCACATACTACGTTGTAACACTTACCTTCCTCTGAAATCTAGCTGCGAAGCAACTATAAGAAGTCACAGAAAGTTATCAGGCTACGATTAACGATCTTTTTTCTCTATTAGGCATAATAAATATTTCAGAGTCCAGTTTTTCTTCGGCTCTATAAGCTCTCAGACCTCCAGCACTAGACGCGGCTCAGGTCGGCGGCCCGCGGCAGGGACCGGGAGACCGCAGACAAAGGCGCCGCCGGGACGATCCGCAGGGCAGCGCCGGACCCCGCCGCCCGGCTCCCCGAGCTCCCGAGGCCTCCCCAGGGCACTCACCCCCTTGCCCAGGCGCCTCTTGATCTCATACTTCTGGGAGACGAGGGCCTCCACCTCCGGCACGCTCATGGCAGGCAAGCTGAGGCGGCGGGCGCCGCGCCCGGCGAGCGGACGAGCGCCCCGCCGCACGGCGCGCTAGGCTGCGCGCGGCGCTCTTCCCGTTGCCTTCTGCTGCTATGGAAACAGCCCCGCCGCACGACGCGTGCGCCAAGCGGCTCCAGGCTGCGCAGGCGCACAGCGTGACGCTGGGCCTACCGCGGGTCGCGGCCGGAGGCGCTGCCGCGGCCTTTCCTCCTTCTCTTTCCCCGTCGGGCGCTCTGCTCTGCTCCGCTCCGCTCCGCTCCGCCCCGCTCCGCCGGGCGGCCAGAGGTGCTGCCGCGGGCTCGGCCGCGCTTGCTGGCTCCGTGGGCGGCTGCTGGGGGAGCGCCGTGCCGCCGGACGACTCCCCTCGGGCGGCGGCGGGCCGTGACCGCGCTGCCGCTCTCTGCTCCCAGGAGTGCGGCGGGGGAGCGGCGCAGGCCAAGGGTAAAACTTCTCCAGCGTAGCGCGTCCTCTGCCTTCATCTGATAAGCGTTTGTTTTGGTTTCGGCTGGGACAGAGTTAATTTTCTTCTTAGTAGCCGGTACAATGCTGTGGTTTGGATTTAGCACGAGAATAATGTTGATAACGCACTGGTGTTTTAGTTGTTGCAGAGTAGCGCTTATCCGAAGTCAGGGATCTTTCGGTTTCCCATGCTCTGCCAGCAAGCAGGGGCACATGAAGCTGGGAGGGAGCGCGGCCAGGACAGCTGACCCGAACTAGCCAAAGGGATATTCCATACCATAGCATGTCATGCTCGGTATATAAACTGGGGGGAGTGGACCGGGAGGTGCGGATTGCTGCTCGGGCATCGCTCAGCAGGTGATGAGCAACTGCACTGTGCATCACTTGTCTTATTGGTTTTTTTTCTTTTTGTTATATTCCTTTTCATTACTATTATTACTATATGTTATTATTATTGTTGTTAGTATTATATTTTATTTTACTTTAGTTATTAAATTGTTCTTAGCTCAACCCACGAGTTTTACTTTTTTTTTCAATTCCCCTCCTCATCCCACTGGGAGCAGGAGGAGTGAGTGAGTGGATGTTTGGTGCTTGGCTCCCAGCTGGGGCTGAACCACGATAACTAAAGTGTGCTAGTGTCAGCAGGGGATGTCAGACATTGCTCTCAGCACCTGGTATCATTCAAATGCACTGTAAAAAAAATTCCTACTTTTTTTTAATCTAGCAATTGAGATTGCTAATGCCAACAATGCAAACCTTTTCTTGTTAGCAGCGTGTTCTGGCAGACACTGATTCCCACAATGTCCTTGTTGACAAACTGAGTAAGTACAGACTAGTTAAGTGCATGGTTAGACAGACTGAAAACTTGCTGAACTGCTGGAACCAAAGGTTTGTCATCAGTGACGTGAAGTCCGGCTGGAGGTCAGTTGCTAGTAGTGTACCCAAGGGGTCAATAGAGGTGCCAGTACTGTTTAGTTTCTTCATTAATCAGCTCGATGGTGGGCTGGAGTGCAGCCTCAGCAAGTTTGCAGATGACACAAACAGGGAGGAGTGGTTGACGGAGCAGATGGTCGTGCTGCTATTCTGAGGGACCCTGTCAGGCTGGAGAAATGGGCCAACAGGAACCCTGTGAGCTTCATCACTGGAAAAAGGCAAGTCCTGCAGCTGGGGAGGAATAAACCCCTGCACCAGTACAGGCTGGCAGCTATCACGCTAGAAGACAGCTTGGCAGGAAAGGACCGGGAGGTCCTGGTGGACACCAGGTTGGCCATGAGCCAGCAGATGTGCTCTTGCAGCAAAGGTGGCAAACGTCATCCCGGGCTGTGCTAGGAAGAACCTTGCCAGCTGTTTGAAGGAGGTGATCCTTCCCTTTTACTCAGCACTGAGAGACCACACCTAGGGTATCCTGTATGCTTCTGGGCTCCCCAGTATAAGACAGACGTGGACATGCAGGATTGTGTCCAGCAAAGGGCCACAAAGATGATTAAGGCTTGGAGCATCTGTGATACAGGAAGAGGCTGAGAGCTGGGATTGTTTAGCCTGGAAAAGGCTTAGGGGATCTTACTAAAGTGTTTAAATATCAGGTGGAGCAGGGGGGAAGACAGAGCTGGACTGTTCTGAAATTGAAATTTGTGATGGAATTGAAATTCCATTTAAATGTAAGAAATAACTTGTTTTACTGTTTTAAGTGTGGTCAAACACTGGAACAGGCTGCACAGAGAGGCTGTGGAGCCTCCATCCTTGGAGATACTCAAAAGCCACTGAAAGTGGCCCTGCTCTGCTTGACCCTTCTTTGAGGTCTCTTCCAATCTCAGCTAAGGTCTGCTTCTCTATGAAAGATCCCTGTGTGAGTATTAAAACTTAAAGTAAGGGCGACCTCTGGTGTCATTGTTGATGAGGTAACCAAAATCCAGAAGTGTTCAACTTGGAAAGTGAAGGTAGCAGCAGCCTATTAGAAACAGAACTCTCTACGTCTTGCTTCTCAAGTGAAACACTAAAGCAAGAAAAGAATGAGAAGAAAGTAAAAGTTGCTAAGAATATATTCAGTGAATGTATTTTATTGATAGTTATGACCAACGGTCAAATACCTCAACTGCTTATATTGTTTAAAGGATTTGGTTGCTTGCATATTTATTTTCTGTCCTTTGGAGACTAGCAGAAGGTAGAATAAAGTCCTTGCCACGTAGAAGATTTGGGAAAATGAATGTTGCTGAAGGGAAGAGCTGGCCGACATTGGTTCATACTATGGTATCAGTAGATGTAGTTTGTAGTGAAAAGTAATATAGAGATTGCCTCACTATGTCTAAGAATATAATTTGCCCATGGTAAATGTCGTGGTTTCAACCCAGCCGGTAACAAAGAACCACGCGGCCACTCGCTCACTCCTCCCGCCCCCCTCCGGTGGGATAGGGGGAAGACGGAGGAGAGGGAAAAAAAACCCCAAACCTGGAACCTCAAGGGTTAAGATAAAGGCAGTTTACTGGAACGACACAAAGAAATTGCAACAACAACAACGGTACTAATGAAAAAGTATACAAAAAGAGTGATGCACAGTGCAACTGCTCACCACCCGGGACCCGACGCTCTGCCACTTCCCCCACCGAAAAGAAGCGCCCACCCCCCGGCCCGCTCCCCATTTATATACTGAGCATGATGTCACATGGTATGGAATAGCTCCTTGGCCAGTTCAGGTCAGCTGCCCCGGCTATGCCCCCCACCTCCCAGGTTCCTGTAAAAAAAAAAATTAACTCTATCCCAGCTGAACCCAGGACAGTAAATTACTAATTAATGAAACATCAAAGTCTGATCTCAAAGAGAAAATGTCATTGTTTATTTTGGGATGTGAAAGGATTGCAGTTTCAAATGTCTTAATACAGATGTCATGAAAGCTAAAGCTGAGGTTACTTTTAAGATCTGTGGTCTGGATTGCATGCTGAGCATGAGCTATGTAAATCAATCCTTTCATCCACCTGCAGAACACTTACTTCTGTATACTCTGTTAACTAACTAATAGTGGCAACAGCTGACAGTCCAGCTACGTCTACTGATATATTGGCATGAGCAAGGAGTGGAGAAGTGGTTTTTTAGGTTAATGGGCACATCTGAACGGGCTGTGAGAGCTGTAGGTTTCGCAATTTGTGTTGTGTGCCTCATGCTGGTGTAACCAGTGGTGCATGTGTGCCATGTCCTGAGTGTATTTGTTCTCCCGAAGAAGCTGCTGCTGCTGCTCTCTCAGTTGAACTTTGGTTTCTTTAAGGATTTTTGAGTATTGGATGAGTCTGAGCAATTCCTGGTGCAGATGCCAATTCTCTGCTTTTACTTGTTTGATATGCTGAATTAGAGATTGTATTGCTGCTTCTTCTGCTCTCTTGGTGAGAACTTGGATCTTCTGATGAAAGTCCATCTCACAGTCAGCCTTGGCGTGCAGAAATCTGCTCTTGATTTTCTGCATTTCATCTGAATGCTGTATCTTTGTGACCAACAATTCCTTCTCCAGCTCTTTAATCTTTTTCATCTGTTCCAGCTGAACAGATGGATCTTTGAAAGGCTGCAGGTCTTCAACCTCCTTTTTCATAAGAGAGTACTTTGTCTCCATATTCATCAGAGCGCTCCTTACCTCCTTCTCTTTTTCTGTATACTGTGAGATTACCTTCTCTTTCTGCATCCGAACTTGAGACAGATCAGTGTGATTCTGGTCATTTAGTGTTATTATCAGATTCTGGCACTTCTGGCTGTGTTTTTTTATGTAAGAGAGGTAAGCATTGCTCTCTTCCTGATTCCGTTGGGCTTCCTTTTCTAGAAATTTGTTCTCCTGCAGGAAATGCTCCAGTCTTCCCATGTATGTGTTCATATGTTCAGTGAGAATCTTGTATTCCTTCTGCAAGTACAGTTTCCTCTCTTTGACAAGTGTTTCCATGTCACTTATTCCTTTGGATATATCTCCATTCTTGGTTCTTGCTTCTTGCTTGTTTTTCCCAGCACGCGTGGTATCTTGTTTCATCTGCTTTGTCTTGGATGCCATATTCCACACTGGGAGTATCAAACTCTGGCAAGCTGTAACAGAATGAAAAATTACAAATTCTAAGCGAGCATTTATGCCACGTGTTTGACTGTTGCTTTTTTCCCCAGTCATACCCTCTTATGTTATTATGTTTTCAACTGATCATTTTGGCAGCTAACATGTTTCACCTAAAATTTTTCATGTCTGGTCTATGTCTTGAGTTGAAGCACACATGCACATGTGCATGTGCATTTTTACATTCCTAGTTAATGGAGGAGTAGTTCTGCTAATCTAAAAATACGCATCTTTTTAAGACTTCTTTTTTGTCATATAAAGTTGTGTTATTTCTGTAGTTTGGAGTACAAAGTCAAATTCCACTGGTGAATTATTATGGCTGTATATTGTGTACTGTCTTTCTGTAGGCAGTAGATCTTGTCCATAAAACTTCAGCAGCAGGTAAGTACTGAAGTACTAACAGAGACATGCCTGAAACTTAGAAATTCATAAAGCAAATTCTAAAATACAACTGCTAAGTCATCATGCTGGACTGGAAGCTACCTGTAGAAAATGTTATGGACAGTAGTACACATTAAGCCCTGTCCCTCCATCAATGTTAGATTCCTGTATTTGTATTTGAAGAGATAGCTGCATCCTTTTCCTGGATTTAGGAAGTTAAGTCAGTATTGTCTTACAAAATGAGAGCAGAAAAGGAAATGTTGCCGCCAATTTTAACCTAGGGCTTCAATGATCAATCAAGGCATCTACTCACTTTGGAGAGTGACCACATTCTTATCCTTCTGCTGCCTGAGGTAACATAAACCGGTATCTTGGACATAGTCTTGACTATAATGTCATTTGAGATATGACACAGATAACTAAGTATTTATGAATACAGAGAGAGTCAAAGAATGACCATAAAGGGGATAATGGCTAAAGAAACATCCTCCCAGATCCAGTTATGGAATGTGTGCCATGGACACAGTCTTGAGCAACCTGCTCTGGTTAACCCTGCTTGAGCAAGGGGCTGGACTAGACAATCTCCTGGGGTCCCTTCCAGCCTCAACTATTTGGTGGTTCTCTGAATCTGTCCTATCAGGTCATGCTGAGGTACTTAATGCTTTCTTTGCCTCAGTCTTTGATAGTAAGACCAGTTGTTCTCTGGATATCTAGCCCCCTGAGCTGCTGGAAGGCAGGGACGGGGAGCAGAAAGAATCTCCCATAATCCAGGAGGAAGTGGTTAGCGACCTGCTACACCACTTAGACACATACATGTCTATGGAGCCGGATGGGATCCATCCAGGGGTACTGAGGGAGCTGGTGGAAGTGCTCACCAAGCCACTTTCCATCATTTATCAGCAGTCCTGGCTACCCGGGGAGGGCCTGGTTGGCTGGAAGTTAGCATATGTGACACCCAAGACAGGCCAGAAGGACGATCTGGAGGACTATGGGTCTGTCAGTCTGACCTCAGTGCCGGGGAAGGTTATGGAGCAGATCATCTTGAGTGCCATGATGCGGCACGTACAGGACAATGAGGTGATCAGGCCCAGTCAGCAGGGGTTTAGGAAAGGCAGGTCCTGCTTGACTAACCTGATCTCCTTCTATGACAAGGTGACTTGCTTAGTGGGTGAGGGAAAGGCTGTGGATGTTGTCTACCTAGACTTCAGTAAAGCCTTTGACACCATTTCCTGCAGCATTCTCCTGGAGGAACTGGCTGCCTATGGCTTGCACAGGTGTACTCTTTGCTGGGTAAGTGGTGAATGGAGTTAAATCCAGTTGGTGGCCGGTTACAAGTGGTGTTCCTCAGGGCTCAGTTTTGGGGCCAGTTCTTTTTAGTATCTTTATCAATGATCTGGATGAGGGGATTGAGTGCACCCTCAGTAAGTTTGCAGATGACACCAAGTTGGGAGGGAGGGTTGATCTGCTCGAGGCTTGGAAGGCTCTACAGAGGGATCTGGACAGGTCGTATCGATGGGCTGAGGCCAACTGTATGAGGTTCAACAAGGACAAGTGCCAGGTCCTGCACTTCAGTCACAACAACCCCATGGAACGTTACAGGTTTGGGGAAGAGTGGCTGGAAAGCTGCTTCGTGGAAAAGGGCCTGGGGGTGTTGGTTGACAGCTGGCTGAATACGAGCCAGCAGTGTGCCGAGGTGGCCAAGGCGGCCAACGGCATCCTGGCCTATATCAGAAATAGTGTGGCCAGCAGGAGCAGGGAAGTGATTGTTCCCCTGTACTCGGCACTGGTGAGGCTGCACCTCGAACACTGTGTTCAGTTTTGGGCCCCTCACTACAAGAAAGACATTGAGGTGCTGGAGCATGTCCAGAGAAGGGCAATGAAGCTGGGGAAGGGTCTAGAGCACAAGTCTTATGAGGAGCAGCCGAGGGAACTGGGGTTGTTCAGCCTGGAGAAAAGGAGGCTCAGGGAAGACCTTATCACTCTCTACAACTACCTGAAAGGAGGTTGTAGCGAGGTGGGGGTTGGTCTCTTCTCCCAGGTAACAAGTGATAGGATGAGAGGAAATGGATTCAAGTTGCGCCAGTGGAGGTTTAGACTGGAAATTAGGAAAATTTCTTCACCAAAAGGGTTGTCAAGCATTGGAACAGGCTGCCCAGAGGAGTGGTTGAGTCACCATCCCTGGAGATGTGGCACTTAAGGACATGGTTTAGTGGTGGACTTGGCAGTGCTAGGTTAATGGTTGGACTCGATCTTAAGGGTCATTTCCAACCTAAACGATTCTATGATTCTATGAAAAGGGCGTGGCTCTGTCCTCTTTGCACCCTCCCTTCAGTTATCAATATACATTAATAAGATCCCCCCTTGCCTTCTCTTCTCCAGGCTAAATAGTCCCAGCTCTCTCAACCTTTCCTTAGATGAGAGATGTTCCAGTCCCTTAACCATGTTCCTGGTACTCTCTTCAGTAGCTACATGTCTTTCATACTGGGGAGCCCAGAACTTGACACACTACAGGTGTGCCCTCACCAGTGCTGAGCAAGTGCTAGTGTTAGTGCACACAGGCAGTTACCTTTTTCCAGTTATCCTGTCTTCCCCCCCTCCCCAGCAGTATGCATCCCCTTAGGAGTCCTCTGTACTGATAAACAGCTGTAGACTGGGAGAGGAAGGAGGGAAGTGAACTCAGTTGCAAAGGCACCCCCCACCCCCACAGTGCCATATATAAATCTCTACTTATTTTACATCTGAAAACTGAACATCTATGGAAGGGATACCCCTACTGGATCCTGGGAAACTTCAGTGGCCCCAGAGAGCAAGAATAAAGATACTGAAATATCTTGGAGATATTCAAAAGCTGTCTGGACATGATCCTGGACAACCTGCTCCAGGTGGCCCTGCCTGAGCAGGGTGTTTGGACCAGATGACGTCCAGCAGTCCCTCCCAACCTCAACCATCTGTGACTCTGGGATTCTGTGAAAGGGTGATAATGGTGCCCTGGATCCTTGTCTCATGTACGTGCATCATAGCAGTCAAAAGGTAGAAGCTAATTTGTAGTGTGCCAGAGCTATCTGTTCTGCAGGAAATTATGAGGGTAACTTGTAATGGAGTGCAAAAGACTCAGTGAGATAACTTTGACCAATCAGAGAGGTTGGGGCTGCAGGTGGCAGGAAGAGCCAGCTCTGGACTAGGTACCATATACATGAGGATAGAACCTCTGTGCTTATTCTTAGATGTACACCCAGGTTTCCGTGGTAAGAGAACAACATCCCAGATGAGAAAACATACGTGTAGTGCAAATAATGGTAAAACTTACCAAGTTGCTAGTAAAATTGGCCACAGTAAGATGCAAGTTTAGAGCACAGGATTGTTTTTCGGAAGGGTCAAACATTACTGAATAACAAATGATGAAGCGCAGCAACAAGATAGAAGCTGTACATGTCTGAAATCCATGCTTTTTCCTTTAGGTTCAGAATATTGCTTTTGTTGGTCTTGTTGTCTGTGTGGCACAGGTTCACGCTGGTAAATACAGCTAGATGCTTCCTGAATTTGAGAAATAAGTTAATACATGTTTTGAAACATTTGTGAGATAACCAAGTGAAGGTGACGGAATAATGGTCGATGCCTATATAGTGCTTTTAAAAATCCATCTTCAGTATATATTGTTATTAAAAGATAATACATCATAGGAAAGGGATGTCTAGTAATTAGACATAATTTTTGTGATTTGAATGAGGCAAGGAATTGTTGAAATAACAGTAAGTGGTAATATAATTATTTGAATATATATTCAGACAGTGTAAGCACTATGCCTACAATCCTGCATTAAGAATTTGCTAACTTTTTTTTAAGCATTCATTTCAGGAGGGGATTAATTTTTTTTAACATGTAACATTATGTTTTAAAAGTGCTGAGATACCTGCAATATAAGAGGCACAGTTCAGTCTACAACAGATACTAAAGGAAGGAAAATGCATCAGTATTAATGATTCTTGCAGACATAATCAGAAAATAAAGGAGTAGTACTTTGTGTGCTGAATTTCTAAACTACTTACTCAAAAGAGGAACAATGCAATCAAGGATTTAGAACTGGAGAGAAGTCTGCTCAGTCTAATGGTTTTAATCAACATTTGCAACTAGAAGTTGCACCCTAATACATCCTAATAAAAGTTGTATCCTAATACAGCTGGTGGCCCTTTTTTAAAGAAAATATGCAAAATTCAAGTAGGTAGGTGAACAAGATAGAATAAGTATACTGAAATCGCCTGTCATAGTAATAGCAGAACAGGTTTCAAGCTGGGAATGTGGCAGCTGCATCAGAAATAGAGTGGGTATAGGGAGACGTAAGAATCTGTACAGAAATCTGTGCACTTCTGTTTTGGAAAACAGACTTGAAGAGGTAGAAGGGTGTCACAATGGACAAGTAGTAGAACTGACTTAATACTAATTGTGTAGTTATGGGGGAAAGGCAATTGTAGAGCTGTATGAATGTTAGAGAAATTACTAAATCAGCATGGAAAAAATAGGCCTTGCTAAAGATGGTGTTATACAAAGTGTGGTTTTTTTTAAAAAAACACTGACCTTTCCTGCTCCTGTGGTCTTCACAGATTTTCCAAATAACTGCTTCTGGCTTGCTGTGCCTGGTTTTCCTGGACAGCATTTGTTGATAGCCGAACTGTGATCTCTGAAGAATGGTGGTGTTTGTAAGCTGTGCGTGTCCATGGTGATGAAACACGTGAAGTCACAAGGGAAGCTCTGCAGTGAGATTCTCAGAGCCATTTCAGTTCCCAGCTTGGTTGTGAGGCCTGACTGTGATGTGCTTTGTTACCTATTGGCGTCAGTTAAGCCAAACTGCCTTTGTGTTTCTGCTTATAGGAATATGATTTATAGTGGTTGCTATATTAATAGGGAAACAGCCTAAGCTAGCTATTAGGATGTACTGAAGGAAAAGGTGTGACTTGAGACATGGTCCTCCTTGGGAATTAGGTGCCAATATCTACTCAAGCATTTCTGGTTCATATATTTGGGGTTTCTTTCCAACAGGTTGGCAAGGAGTCCCATGTCCCACAAAGTTAGGAAGGGGTGTGTATACATGGGAATGTTTGTGACATTTGAAAGGTAGATGCTAGAAAGGATTTTTGCAAATGCAGTCCTTACTTATGGAGGGGTTTCTTGTTTTTGAAAGGAAAGGAATAGTTTGGGTGGCATTTCCTGCATTTTTTAGGGAAAACAAGCTAATCTTAGTACATGAGAAATTTTGTTTCTCTAGGTGTGTAACAGTATAGACTTGGCATCTCTGTGGCATAGGGCATGGAATTTCACTGGTTTACTTACTCATCTAACCTGGCTATTTGTGACTAAATTACAACTTTCTAGAAAGGCAGCTAAGCTTGAATACAATAATAACAGAGACTACACTACTTCCTTTGTTTGTTTGCTGCAGTGGTTGATTGTTTCACATGAAAATGTGTGAAAGTGAAGCACCCTTGTATTGCGTTTATGTGGCAAGGGTTTGGTAGCAGCGGGGTCTGCAGGGTTGGCTTTTGTGGGAACATACCAGACACTGGTCCCATGTTGGATGGAGCCAGTTCCAGATGGCTCCAAGGACTGGAGCTGGATGGCTGGCCAAAGCTAACCCAATTGGCAATAGTGGTAGTGCCTCTGTAATAACATATTTAAGAAGCGGTAAGAAATGCTGTGCAACAGCAGTTGAGAGAGGGGAGTGAGAATATGTGAGAGAAACAACTCTGCAGACACCAAGGTCAGTGAAGAAGGAGTGGGAGGAGGTGCTGCAGGTGCCGGAGCAGTTTCCCCTGCAGCCCATGGTGAAGACCATGGTGAGGCAGGCTGTCCCCCTGCAGCCCATGGAGGTCCACAGTGGAGCAAATATCCACCTGCAGCCTGTGGAAGACCCCATGCTGGAGTAGGTGGATGTGCCTGCAGGAAGCTGTGACCCCCATGGAGAGCCTGTGCTGCAGCAGGCTCCTGGCAGGAACCATTTGGTGGGGGGGCTGGAATCACAGGGTCCCAAGTAGAGCTAAAATGAAAATAATGCAAATTAAATTTGATTAATAGAAAGTTAAATTGAATTTTAAAAACATACAGATTGCTAACTGGGCATCATTAATGCTTGTTACTTATTTAATAATAGCAATGTTAA